CATCAATTCGTCATGTCACAGCGAGTGTAGTACACACATCTCATATTTTTGACTGATTGTCAAAAAAATGCCAAATAGGTATCAATTTTAAGGGGCATAGGTGTTCAATAGGTACAAACGTTAGTTGAGCTATTTAAACGAATTATGCAGACAACTTTAAGGGGCTACAAATGATTTAAGCCTAATAATAATAATAATAATAATAATTTGCAAAACAATCTTTAAAGGAATGAAAGTACTGAGAAACTCCTCAACTCTAACTATCTATAAAGCATCTATAGTTAAACATGGATGTTGGGACAAGACCCACAACACCCTAAAAGGACTAAACTGAAAGGAAAAAAGGGGGAATCCTCCAGAATGCAAAGAGGCTCACCAAAGCTAACTAGAGTGTCAAGTGATCTCAACAAAGCGCATGTTGATGATCTTGAACACCTATATCTGCATCATAAAGGATGCAGGTCGAATCACATCAGTACATTTGAATGTACGAGTATGTAATATAGTCGAGGCGAAATAACTGAAAGAAAGGACTACCATAGGTATAACATAAACTCAACTGAATGTAAAGAATTAAAGGAATGAAACCATTTAACTTTACAAAATACTTGCTCATCATCTGAACACTTTGACTCTATTGGGAGATTCTCTAACCGACAACCATCACTATGAGCTAAGTGATGATACAACGTCTTGTCCACACTGCTAGAACTATCCTATATCATTACGGGATATAGAACACCTCAACTAAGTGGATATACTAAGCTCTACCCGAAGGCACTAATGATTCATCTAAAAAATATAATCTTGTATCCATGTGGGCAAGACATGGTTTATGGGGGTTGTGAGTTGTCTGACCTATCCCCCATATCAGTGCTCAATACTACCAATAATATTTACTTTTGCTCAATGTATAAAAGCATTACTATGTCTCGGGTTTGAGATAATTGCTCAAACTATCCTCTTATAAGAGGAAACTGCTCTGAGCTATCTCTGAAACTCATTGTTCATTTAGAAAACAAGGTTTCTTTTTAATTAAAGTAAAAATACATTCTGGGTTGAGATAATTACTCAAATAGGGGCCTTTTAAGAGGTAACTGCTCTGTACTTAATCTTTCTGAAAACTTTTAACTTTTCTAAAAATGTCTACTTTTTCTCTTCATGTAAAAATGAAACATTTTCGAAATACTTAGATCCCTTATACTCTTTCTCAAATTGTTCTTTACTTCCTCAAAACTGAATTTAAACAATAATGTTTAATTTAAAAGATTCTCAATAAGAATTCACTGAAATACTCAAAATGGGGTTCATGCTGAAAAATAGTCATGAACAATCAACTCAATAGTCACAATTCAATGATTAGGAATAGAAATTCAATAATCAACAACTCAAGAATTCAGAACTCAATATCAACTCATCTCAAGAATACAAAAATCTAAGGTTAGAATCTTAGATTACTCTTTTACTGATTTGAAAGTAGATGTAGGGTGTGAGGACGAACTAGTCCAACACTATGATAGCTTTACATACTTGGAAGAACGAAGTTCTTTGGCGAAATCGAAGAAACTTGAAGAACACTTGAACCCTAAATTTTCTCCTCTTGGAACCTAGATCAAATGTCTTGAAGTGTTAATGAATGTACAAGAATTAATTAACACTTTCTAAGCCCTTAATTTGGTGTGAAATGGCGTAGTTTAGGCTTGGAATAGGGTTAAAACGATGTAGTTTAAGTACCAAACGCATAGGGGGAAAGACCAAAACGACCCCAACTTTTAAAACTGAAACAGTGCCCAAAATAGCCAGTCTCATGAGCCATCTACTGCTTCACAGGACGTTTAAAGCATCACGGCCCGTCTAAAGGGTCATCATGTTGCCCTGTGCTACATGGCTTCATTAAAATGGGAATAACTCTTTACTCTAGGCTCAAAATTAGGAAAACTTGGTCGGGTTGGAAAAAGAACTCAAAGATCATTAATTTGATAGGACATAGACCACTTAATTCATTTTGTGCTGAGATATATGATCATTTGAAGTAGACCCAAAACTTAAAAGTTGATGAGTCCCTTTCATGGACGACTGCACGGTCTGCGTGAAGCTTCATGGACCGTCTAAGTGCATGTGATCCTTCATGGTCGTTGGGTGCAACTTCACGGGCGGGGTGATGGGTCGTGGACCTCTTCACGGCCCGTGATCCCTTTCGTGGAACTGTCATTTTCTCTTTTCCATTCCAAGTTCAAATTTTCGATGTGTTACACTTATTCAATTTTTAGGAGGGTCTACTAAATTAAACTATGATTTAGATTGAGTTGACTATAATTGAAATCCCAATGGGCATTTTCTAATTGCAAATGTAACCACATATTGACTCCCAACACAGTACTAAATGAGGCCATTCCTCCCAATTTTGTTGGCTAAAAAATGCAACAAACCCCAATACAGACAAGAATACAATTCTGAGAAGTCATACATACACAACATACAAATGCCTAGACCGATTCTCATCTTCTTCTTCTTCTTCTTCTTCGTGACCCAACTAGTACGACACCAGAACAAGGCCAGGTGGATTGCTCCGAGATGGCCTTCCTTTTGATTTCTCTATGGATTCCTCTGAGATGGCCTTCCTTTTGATCTCTCTAAGAATTCGTTGAGGATTTGTTCGAATCTAGCCAGCATATGAATTTCAAATTTCAATTTCCATGATCGTTATCTTGTTTTCAAGCCCTAATTCACTCCTATAAATTCCATTCCAGAAGTTTGGAGTCTAGATTTTAGTCTCTTTCGAGGCTCTCAACTTCGTCGCTGCCCAGGAAAAGGTAACTTTACCTCTCATTTCTTTTTCTTTAGAACAGCCATGTTGATACCACTTTTCCTACTCACAATTCTATCAATAAAATTCAAATTGAGGATATTTTAGTCTTTCACCAATACTTTCTTATGCTACGTGTCCTTTGGATTAAATATCAATGCCAACGCAACAATGATCTTTTTGTCTCTCTATCTAACCTTCTTTTTCTTCTTTGGTAACATTATTTTTCTCAAATTCAAAACAAAATCTAGATACAAATCTTTTTCTACTTTGTGTATGGTTTCAACTCTCATATCTGTAAGTTTTTACCTTCATTTAATTGCAAGTATTTACTGGTAATTTATTTGAGAATTTTTGGAACCACTTTCTCAAATAATAGCCTCAACCTAATTAGGAAAGGGGGAAGATCAGTGATATACAATAATTAGTTCACCAGAGCGTGTTTTCATCTCTCGACGGCATCGCACCCGTATAGTTTTTGTCCTATCTTATCAATTTTGGTAATTTTTTTATTTTTTATCAACAATAAATAAAAATTAAATTCTTGCACATTATCTTAAATACTACATCATCTTAAGTCACCAGAGACGGAATCAATAATTTTCTTTTAAAAAGGAAAAAAAAAGCAATGTTTGTGATAAATAATTTTTTTAAATTTTTTTAAAACATAGCAGTATTTATTTTTATCAATTTTATTGATATGTGGACTATCGATTCACGTGATATTAGCTTAATTTTCTTAAGGGGAAGGTTTCCCAAGGTAGTAATACCTCTGGAAAATTAAATTATGATCCTGAAAATGAGTAGTTTTGAATTTTTTTATCATTTTATATTATAGATTCAATTGTCTTTCTAAGATGGAATTTCATATAGAGATAAGACCTCAAATCAATCATTTATCTCGAGCCATATGAGGAAAAAACTTTTTATATTTTTAGGGCCATAGTAATCTTTATTTTAAACATACTCGGGGTGGGTGGGTGGGTTGGTGTAGGGTGAACGATTTTAAAGTGGACTCCCTACTCATTAGATAGAGAAGATCACAAAAAATTTAGTTAGCGGCTTAGAAGATAGCTAGATGATCAAAGATCAAACTAGCATATGCAATTAAAGAGCGTCACCACTTTCTCCATCTTAAATTTTATCGAGGACTTCAATTGATATGTTGCAGGAAAGGAAGGAATAATAATTAAATTTTAACTTAGTTACCAACATTTACTTCATGGGAAAATTTAAGGTCCAAAATCAAAAGTAACTAATGATAAGTATCAAGTACAAATACTACATGTACTATGTTTTGTTTATTCATGCATTATTGTATGAATTTGGGATGATATCAATTTCAATTTATTTGTTATGTTTAAATTTTTCATGGAGTTCAAAAAATTAAAGAATACTTTTATATCTTGTGATCATAAACTAATGATATGTAAAAAAAATAATCAAAATGCCCTTTTATTTTGTGTTGTTAAAGGTGATATGTGAAAAAACTAGAATTAAAATGTTGTCAATGTCAATTTTCTGCTGAATGCCTCTCAAAGTGAGAGAGTCTTTCCATTATATAGAGAGAATAAAGATTACACATCCATAAAGTTCTGTCATTCCTATCCCTAAAGATCACCTATTCTATCTCTACAAATCTGATGTTCAACCCCTCTAAAGCTGCTTTGATATCCCTCAAAATAAGCTATTCTATCACAATATTTATTCCTCTGATTCTACAACAAATCTATATGATAATACTAATTTATAGCACTATATAATTACATTAATATATAAAATTATTTAGTTGTCCAACATGCGAAGATCCCCCTTCAAATTGATGTTGGTGGATCAAGAAGCATGAATTTCCCTACTAGAAACTGATGGCGTTGTCGTGCCATGGACTTTGTAAATGCATCAGTTATTTGAAGATCATCGGACACATGTGGAAGAGTAAGACTCCTTTATCAACAACTTCTCATATATAATGACAATCTACTTCGATGTTTATGGCCCTCTCATGAAAAAATGGATTAGTAGCAATTTGAATAGCATGTGTATTGTCAGCGTGGAGAAGAGTATAATGAGATTGAGGAAATCAAATCTCAACAAGTAATCCACGAATCCATACAACCTCGGAGCAAGCAGTATACATGGATCGATATTTAGCATATGTTAAAGATTTTGACAAACGATCTTGCTTTTTACTCTTTCAAGCTATCAATGACTCTCCAAGAAATATGCACCAACCAGTGACTGAACAACGAGTAACAGGACATCCCGCCCAATCAGAATCACTAAAAACTTTAAGATGAATAGGAGAATCACTTCGAAAGAACAATCCACGAGTAGAGGTTCCTAGAAGATACCGAATGATGTGATGAACAGCCACCAAGTGGAGATAACAGGGAGCTTGCATAAATTGACTAACGTATTGAACTGCAAAATAAATACCAGGTTGAGTAATAGTAAGGTAATTTAGACTCCCAACTAATTGTCGAAATAAAGTTGGATCAGGAAGAAGATCACATTCCTCAAGACGATACTTCACATTCAATTCCAATGGAGTATCTACGGAGGAGGAATCTTGAAGACCAACCAAAGAAATCAGATCATGAGTATATTTGTGTTAGTTTAGAAACACACTTGAAGCATCATTATGAACTTCCAAACCCAAGAAATATGTAAGAGTACCAAGATATTTCATATGAAAAGAATCTTTAAGTTGCTGTTGGAGGCTAGTGATTAGTGAAGAATCGGTTCCTGTGATAAAAATATCATCTACATACACCAAAAGAAGAATAGAACCAGTAGATGTTTTCCGAATAAATAAAGATGAGACATATTTTCTCTGCTCAAAAGAAAATTCTAGCAAAGTAGACGGAAACTTATCAAACCAAGTTCTTGGATCTTGTTTTAATCCATACAAAGACCACTTCAACTTGCATACATCTGATGTAGATGATGAGAAAAAACCAGGTGGAGGTTTCATATAAATATCTTCTTTAAGATCACCATGGAGAAAAGAATTTTTGACATTCATTTGATAAAGAGACCATTTTTGTGAAGCAGCAATGGCAATAATAGTTCACACCGTAGTCATTTTTGTTACGGGTGTAAAAGCCTCCTCATAGTCCAGCCCATACTCTTGTCTATTACCAAGAACAACCAATCGAACTTTGTACCGATCAACAGTTCCATCAGAATGAAGTTTGATTGAATAAACCCATTTACATCCAATAAGGTGGACATTTGAAGGACATGAAACAATGTCTTGTGTCATTTTCTTTAAGAGTCAAAAGTTCTTCCTCCATTGCATTATGCCAACATTCATGCTTAAAAGCTTGTGAGTACCAAGTTGGAACAAAAATGTTGGATAAAATAGAGGAAAATCCATACCAATTGGGAGTACAAGATACTCTAGTAGATCGTCGAGTAGGCTTAAGAGGACCAGATCTTGAAGAATTCTCACATTCTAGTTGTGGTACAATTTCAGGCGGTGGATCAGTGTCGAGATGGGATAAAGTTGGCCGACGTCGTTCATACACAAATCCAGCTTGAACCTCTTAAAATAAGATGATAAATCCTCAAAAGTAGGAAGAAGAGGAGAAGTAGAAGATGAATTTACAATAGTACAAAAGTAATACTGATTCACAAAGAAAACAACATTTCTAGAAAAATGAAATTTGTGAGAACATGGATCATAGCAAATAAAACCTTTTTGTGAAGTACTATAACCCATAAAAGCACATTTAGTAGACTGTACAGAAAATTTATTGCGCTACGAAAGAGGCAAATGCACAAAACAAACACAACCAAATGTATGATAATCACTATAGTTAGGATTTTGGTGATAAAAACGAAAATATGGAGACTCAAGATTTAGCACTTTAGATGGCAATCTATCAATTAAATAGACAACATTAGACAAAGTTTCCACCCAGTATTTAGATGGTACAGAGGACTCAATCAATAAAGTACGAGTGACATCTAAAAGATAGTGCTTTTTATGTTCAGCAACTCCATTTTGTTGTGGTGTATATGGGCAAGAGCGTTGTGAGACAATTCCTTTGTCAAGCTAGAATTTTTGAATTTATAAGACATATATTATCCACCAGAATTAGATCTTAATAATTTGATGCACGTAGAAAATTGAGTCTCAATGTAAGCCAAAAATGTCTTGAACATGGAAAATACCTCAGATTTCGATCAAAGAAAATACACCCACGTAAACCGACTATAATCATCTATGAATGTCACAAAGTATTTGAAATGAGTAAGAGAAATAATTGGCAAAATGCCCCAAACATCACTATGAATGACATCAAAATACTTTGTAGCACGATTACCAAAATTAGGAAAAGGAAGAATTTTACTTTTGCATAATTTACAAGTAGTACAATCAATGGAAGCAGCTGAAAATTGATTTTTATTTCTCAATAAATTGGAATATGATATATGAGACAACACGACAAAATTTGGATGTCTTATACGCTTATGTCAAACCTCAGTCTTACTAGCAGTAGAAGTACAAAAAAAAAAGATACAACAGGAGGAATGGAAAATTGTATAGGAAACAATCGTCCAGCTTTAGGTCCTTTCACGATTATCGTCCTCAACACCTGATCCTGCACAGGACAACCATTACGAGAAAAATTCACATTACAATTATTATCTATCAATTGTCCAACCGAAATAAGACTAGTTGAGAGCTTTGGTGAAACAAAAACATTCTTGAAAGTTGGAGTAATGTCCCCAACCTTGATAATGGGTAAATTACTACCTGTGGCAATCTGCATTTATAATGGACCTTGATACATACGAATATTTTTTAGGATACTCGTTGAGTTGGTCATATAATTGGAAGCACCTGAGTCAACAATCCAAAAATTAGATGTAGCATCATTACCTTGTAATCCCAATGTTGAAAAGGTTGACACGATCATTTGTTGTACCATTTCAGGAGTAAGAACTTGTCCTGAAAATGAGTTATCAATAGTGGAACCATTTATCCGAACTTGAAAAACATTGACCCTACGAGTTTTAGGGCTCGTGGGACACTCTTTGATAATGTGTCCTTGTTGTTTTCAATAATTACAAAACTTCTTGCTACAATTGCTAACAATATGATCATATTCCTTGCAATTGTAGCATCAAGTTCTAGTCATATCCCTACCATTTCCTTTACCTTGAGTAGCAAATGCAACAGTGACATCATTTTCTTTCATGAAAGCATTTTGTGTGACAAGGCATTTCTCTTCACGGAGTACTTCCCTAAAACAAACATCCAAAGAGGGAGACAGGTCACGATTCATCAAGTTAGAGTGAACACTCTCAAAGTCGGAGCGCAATTTCATCAAAATTGGTCTCTCTTGCTTTGCTCATGAACTGCCTGAATCATAAATAGAGATTCGGTAGGTATTTTGGTATAGACAAGATCTGTAAATTCAACCCATAAGTTTTGAAATCCATAAAAATAATCCTGAATAGAAAGACCTCCTTGAGAGTAATTAGCAATTTCGACTCTAACTGAAAGCGTCTTGTTCTACTATCTTGGTTGTAAACCTTTTGTAAGTAATCACACATGGCCTTATATGTCTTGTACGGCCTGAGATTAAGAACAATAAGAGGGTCAATTGATCTTGGAATCCATGTCATCACCTGAGCATCGTTAATCTTCCATTCACGTAGCTTTGTTTTATCAGTACAAGCAGGATTGATTCCATCTATATGGCCCCATAATTCTTTGCCGGTGACAAATAACTGAAACTGAAACTCCCAAGAAGAATATTTTTTTCCAGTGAAACAAACACTGAAGGATTCAAAGTGATGTTAATTCATGCTTTTGGATAGCTATGAAAACTACAAAGACTCAAGAAAGCAACTAGAATGACCAAGAACAAAAGTCCTAAGTGGTAGGACTGATTGTCGAGGTAAAGTCAACAAAAACCAAGATTTTCAAAAAAATTTGAAGGAGCCACAGATGACTCTATGAAACAAGACAGCCAAAAGAAGACTCTAATACCATGTCAATTTTCTGTTGAATGCCTCTCAAAGTGAGAGTCTTTTCATTATATAGAGAGCATAATTATAACACATCCCTAAAGATCCGTCATTCCTATCCCTAAAGATCATCTATTCTATCTCTACAAATCTACTATTCAATCCCTCTAAATCTGCTTTGATATCCCTCCAAATCAGCTATTCTTTCACAATATTTATCCCTTCGATTCTACAACAAATCAATATGATAATACTAATTTATAGCACTATATAATTACATTAATATATACAATTATTTAGTTTTCCATCATGCCAACAGCCGAAAAAGAAATTAAACATTCTTTTTTAATAGACTAAAAGGGAAAGTAAGACAAACAAATGAAAATGAAAATACCAGTTTCTAAAATTGTAAGAAAGATGAAGTTTTCTATTGCAAAGTGAATAACATTCTGAAAAGAAAGTAAAACTAAAATGAAAAACTGGACTATCTAAAAATTATTCAAATAATTGCCACCAGGTATAATATAGAAAAACATAGGAAAGAAAAAACTACAACCTTCAGGCATGGATACTCTTGACTTCAAAGCTTTAAGTTAAATTTAAGTTAAATTTCTATCGATCGAATTTGAAACCTGACTTGATTACTTCTTGTTGACATCAACGTTTGTGCTCCACGATTTATATGCACGCGCCAGACACTAATGTTAGTTCTAATTGGACGACGATGATATGATGATGGTTCTCATGACACTTGTCTCTCATTTCTTAGAATTCATGCATTTTGTTCTAGTAATGCAAGTCTTGACTGTGATGTTGAACTCGATCTATTTGAACCTTCTGCTATGTGCAGTTGTGGTTGTAACCAGCGATGGTATGATGTTGGTTCTTGTGACACGTGTCTATCATTTCTTAGAAATCTTGCATTTTGCGTTGGTAGTGAAAGTATTGACAATGGTATTAAATTCGGTCTGTTTGAACCTTCTGATATGTGAACTTATGGTCGTAATTGAATTGGGTGAGATCGAACATGAATCATAAATTCATAAAAAGTGAAAATGATTCGGTTACATATATGGCATTGGAACAATCTAGTGTTAGAAGTTGACATTCTAAGAAGAAAAAGAGAAATCAATGTCAAACACATAAATATTCAAAATCAAGCCAAATTTGAGACTTTTTCTAAAAAGAAATTTAGCTAATGTATTTGACTTATCCTATATGAGAAGGAAGACTTTGAATTATTCACATAAAAAATAGTCAGTTTAAAAAAATGCTCTAAGAATTTCTTTTAAAATAGGGATAGAATTTACCTCAATGACTTGAATGGTGCACGTTAATTCTACAGATTGTGAGAAGAATTTATAGGCCAATGAGACTCACACTTGCAAGTAGATATGGACGCACTAATGTGTAGTTTGACCGGCTAAAAGAATACAATTATAGTTAAATGATGAATCCAAAAATAAAATCTAAAAAATTAATTATTTTTCTATTTAGAGAATTATTTTGCCCTTTTCAATAAATTTCTAACACAATTTAGTAAAAGTGGCCAGGAAATATTATATAGAATTTTTTAATAATTATTAGTGGGATAAATAATTTATATAAGGGATAAGGGTCTGAAAAATACCCCAACTTTGGCCGAAATTGCTGTTATGATACCAAACATTATGGAGGACCTATTACCCCTGAACTATTTAATAGTGTATTCTTTATCCCATGAACTATTTAATAGTGTATTTTAAAGGTATATATGTGTCCACGTGGACACATTACTATTTATAATTTTGCATTAATTTTTATGTCCACGTGGGCAAATATATATGTTTAAAATACTGTAATAAATAGTCTGGGGGTAATAGGTCCTCATTAAAGTTTGGTATCGTAACAACAATTTCGGCTAAAATTGGGTATTTTTTAGACCCTTATCCCTTTATATAACATTTATTATATTTTTTTTTCTTTTGTCTTTCTAGCTGATGCTAACTAGTATTGTACCAAAATTATACTATTAATGTTATTAAATAATTAGACTTTAATTTAGATATCAAAAATAAATTTTAAAATTAATTATTCATAACAATATTATTACGAGCAGTCTTTTATTTATTATTCTGTAAAAAAAATTATAAATCTTGAAGATAAGTTATAAAACTATTTCATTTTGACTGAATTGAATTTACATCTTAGAACTAGATTTAAATACTATAATACTAATATAGACACTCTTTTATTTTTGAAAATAATTATTATAAAAATATTATTACGGACAATTTTTTA